ATTGAGGGTGAGAAATAATGTTTTTGAAATGTTCACCTTTTAGGTAACATCCCTATTGTCGTTCAACATGTGTAACTCAAACAGAGGAAAAATTCGAGTCAAAATGACCCTGCTTGGGGTTGCTGGGGACAGAAGTAAAAAAAAAAAATCCTGACACAACACAACTCTTTCCAAATTACGACTTTTTAGACGTGGGCGGCGCTTGAGGGAGACCTCTAAACCTAAACATATTTTTTTGCTTTGTCCTTCTTAGAATGATTATTAATTTGGACACATCATAGCATATTATGAGCAAAATTTACCTTAAACTTTTTCAAATTTTAAAAATAAGAGGCTTTTTTTTTTCTTTTATGAGAGACACATCAACGCGCGTTCGGTCTCAGCAAAGCAATTCAATAATTGGTAATTCCATCGAAACAGACAAACTGTCACGGTAGTTCAGAGATTTGAATGTTCCGTTTGTTTGTGTTTATTTAATCATTCATTGTCGCAATCATCAATCTCTCCTTTCTACGGCTGTTGCTCACGCAGTCCTCGAAGCACCGATAAAATAAGACAAATGGAATGAATACAACATGTAAATAGAGCGAGGGAAATAACCCGCGTTAACGACGGCGCAGAGATACGACTATTCGTGCTTGATGGATGTCCGTATTGCATCTGCAAAATTGAAGGCGCGATGGCGCGAGGCGTGAGCTCGCAATGCTCCGCTCTGTGCTAGCAATGAGATGTCGCTTGGATTTGGGGAAAGATTAAAAAAACAAAGCCCGATTACGTTTCTCCTATCTTACGCTGTGCTGCTTACGTGGCGGACGTGGCCCTTGAATCACCACTGCAAATAGGACGGACAAAACCAACACAACATAGAATCAAGAAAATCGGGGACTTTTTCCCCCGAAATGATAAGAAACAATGAGCTAGTTAAAGCGTTAAAAGGCGTATTTTATAGAAGTAATTTTACAAGTCATGTTGAACCGATTGAAAACATAGGGTACGAAAAACCAAGCAACACTTTAGTTTTTTTATTCCTGGTTACACCGCGCCGCGCCGCCGCGGCTGGCGGGAAAATTTGAAAATGCCGGTGTTCAGGACGATTTTTGTCATTTCTTGGGGACCTGAACAATAAAATTGGGGACTTTCGGGGATATCGGGGATACCCTTCCAAAATCGGGGATAATCGGGGACATAGGGGACTTTTGGGGACAGGTAGACACCCTATTTGAGTTTGCCGATAACATAGACAGTTTAGGGGCAGTAACGAAGAGGGCACTCGGGAGACCCAGACTGGACGTCTGGGACGCCGCGAGGAGGGATATANGGGGGGGGGGGGGGGAGTCACCGAGGGGCTCCCCGTACCGGATGCAAAAACCAGCGACCCGTATGACGTCTCTCCATCGCGCGACTCGGTGGGGTTAAGGATTGTCAAACTGCAGTCGATTACCTTCATTTCCGCCCTTGATCGCCGCAAAAACCTACCTACCAACCTTGGTACGACAGGGTGTCTACTAAAACAGGCTAGCCAAAAATTAGTAATTTTACAGTACATTCCCCGGAAATTCAGTACCTCCTTAACAGAGAAATTCAGTACTTTTTCAGTACCTCCATTTGAGGAAATCCGTTTCAGAAATTTGAAATTCTTGCTCGAATTGCGACAAAAACGACGTAGGTATAGCCACAAAATTTAATTAATTTGTGGCTTGAAGATTAACTGACTGCACGCCGTTTTTAGAGGAGCATGGATATTTTCTCTTAAAATTTTCAGATAATTTAGATTTGATAGCGGATAAAATCTTCCGAAAAAATCGAGGATAAATATTCACAGATTTCCCGGAAAATTCATCTTTTATCGAGAGAGATGCGGCAACGTCTGGCGGCTCATACGGCATTTCTCATCAGCAACAGTGGCGAGGCGTAAATGATCAATTATCGATGTTTCCCCATTTGAAGCCATGATAAAAGATCGATTATTAAGGTGTTCGCTGCGAACACCCTGTTTATCGATCCTTTTCCATAAGTTTAAATCGATCGGACCAATCGATGTCGTCACCTTCCAGGCAAAGTATCACAAGCGCCATGCGACGTTTAAAAATTTCCGCCGCCATTTTATTTTTTTACAGAGAAATTGTTCAACGAAGCTGTCCGAAAATTTCACTGAATTTTCTTTGTGCTGCCGATAATATTAAGTGAAATTTCCAAACAGATCCAATCAAAAATTTCTCAGTAAAGAAATAAAATGGCGGCGGAAATTTTTAAACGTCGCACGGCGCTTGTGATACTTTGCCTGGAAGGTGACGATGTACCGCAAAGCACGCCACGCTGCTGCTAGCATATCACGGCAGCATTGGAGATTTCAAGTCTCTCCAAGGCCGATGAGAAACAAACCTGCATTAGAAAGAGAAAAGTCACATACACTGGGCGAACGGAAGGTTTAACACAAAATCACTTGAGATCCTTTAAAAAACGCACGTGTTAACGCCAAAGTTCAAGGTGAGGCAGTGTAAAATAATGATTCAACACGTTTCATTTTTTTCTCCGGAGAAAAATGATGGCTCTTGCATTCCAGCATTAGTCATTAGATCTTTCAATACAGCTCATGAGGATTCGAAGTTGGTTTTACAGACGGAGTAGCTTCATTCCATTCAGGGGGTCAGAATGTCCCAGGGTATGTATGTTCTGTTCTGTCCCCCAAGCTACTTCCCTGACTTGATTAAGTTGGTTTTAGTCGAATTATTCCTCCAATACTCATAACCCTCAAAATATCCGTTAAATTCGCTGTTAAATTTTTCAGCAATTTATATTTAAAAATTTATTCTTTCCCAATCCCCCCCCCATTTTTTTCGACAGCTTCAACAGCATTTCTCAATTTGAAATAAAAAAAAAATAAAATAAAAAAAGAAAAGGTCATCAATTGAGGATATTCAATTCAATTCAGTTGTGCATACTTCTCCACAGAAAACTCATAGATTAAGGAGACTTCTCCACAAAAAGGTTATCAATCAGCGAATTCTCCAAAAAAGGTCAAACGAGTCTCTGGTCCACATGAACTTTTATTGAAAAACTCCACCGACAATGAGCTTCTTTCTCATACTTCATGCAATATTGAATTTTGGGAAACTTAAAGCTCACAATCAGCTTCATTATGGGATGCCGCTCTTGATGACTTCTCCCTTGGGTGCATTGCTTAAGCAACGTAAGGCAACCTACCACAGTTACTGTCTTAATAGAAGTGATGATTCACTTTAAGTGGCTTTTCACTTTACACCGCTTTCGCTTTTTACTTGGCTTTATTATCATAGACATTATCTTTAAGATGGACTTCTCACCTTAGTGATGAAGTCCATTAGAAAAACGAATTATAACTATGTAGTGCAAGACTGGAGTAAAGGAGGAACATTTCAGAAGAGGGGTGCCCTTACATGCTTGTCTTTCAAGTATTACGTAAGGCATTTCTGCCAACTTTTTAACCCCCCTCCCCCTCTCATAATGTAAGGATCCCGTAAGATATCCCCCCCCCCCCTTTTGAATTAGGTAAGATTGGCCGGAACCCCCTCCCCCCATTTATCAGAAAAAAACGGAGAAAACCTGGTAAAAGAGCTGGAATAAATTTAAGGCTTTCGTAAGTAAGGTATTTTGATGAAAATTGGCGAAAATAAGAAGCAAATAATTGAAATTTCAAGTCTTGTATTGATATGGCAGGGTTTCACAGCTCACAATGCCAATAAAGTTTTCTTATTATATTTTTTACTTTTTCAACGATTAGCCTTTTTTTTTACAGCGGAAAGCTTATGTAAGCCTCGGCTTGAACCTCTCCTCCTTGTCCCTTCATAAGGCTCTATAAGGCAAGCTCAGACCTCCTCCCCTCTCCCTAAGAGAATACTTGAACGGCTCTTAATAGAGTGAAGAGTGTGCTAATATCTCGAGTAGCAAATATCTGGACCAACAGCTGCGTAGCTAAGACCAGTCATAGGGGTCATCAGCTGGGTTAACACTTGTTTACATTCCGCTAGCAAGTGATCGCTATGAAATTGGCCAATAGCTATTGAGGATTGACCGTGGCCCAGTCGGGAGCGTAGTTGGTCCCTGATCCCTTGCGAACAGAATGTACAAACAAGTGCCAAGTGACGATAATCTAATGGCTTGTACAGGTACTTTCTTTGCTATTATTTATATTTTCCTTGGGTATTCGTGTTATTTCTTCGGCTTAATATTAATAATAAATAAACTAAACGGAGATAAGGCAGGGAGAGATGGGAGGAACGAACTCTCGTATATTTAATGGACCCTTCTTCCAGAACCCTCCTCAACTGATTTAAACCTACATAGGACTAGGGTAAGAAAAGAATGACCAACTGTCACATTGGAATGTGGCACCATTCAACATAAATTTATATGGTAATCAATGGACGAACTGATAAGTTGGTTAATGTCACATTCGTCCACTCCTTTCTTCCCCATATCTAATTAAAATTCTAGTCCAATTGCTGGTATTTAAGTACCTCTGTCATGTGAAGCCATAATACAGTCCTTAAACTTATTGCTGACATTTTGTAAAGCGATCGGTTTGAGTAGCGAGTAGGTACTTCCCTTCTGATTGGATATACAACAGTTGTGAAAACAATTTTAAAAATTATTGAACAGATCGTGATGAGTTCCACTTGAAACTTCAAAAATTTACTGTTGAAGTTACTTAACTTTCTCTACATTAATTGAATTAGCGTTTACATTATTGCTTGCACATAGTGGAGTTATGAATTACAGTTGAATTCTTTTGAGTCTGAAGAACTGACAGACAACAAATACAACTTTGTTAGTTCCATTGTTGAATGATTCAGGACATAGCTAGAGAGTAATGTCTCTCATTGCATTCTTGAACCTTTGGGCAGTGAGAGTTTGGCCATCACCGCTCTTCAGAGCAACAATGTTCTATTCCAGATAGTATCTGCCAATACTCTTAGACATAATAAACTGTAGAGGAGGAGTATGCTAGTATATTCACTTACCCACAGCAAATTTCTTATGTTTTTCTGCAACCCACATTGTGAGAAAAGTAAGTCAGGAGAGAGTTTATACCACTAAGGATGCACTGGATTGATTGCACTTAAATCAGTACTCTTCATTTTACACCTACTGATTGGGGCTGTCACACATAACTTGGACATACAAAATAAAAATAACACAGACAATGTACTTTGTTATTGCGAATTCTTCCAAAACAATTCCGAGACAAAACTTCCGTGCTAATTTTCATTCACAAATCCTCGAATTTGATAGTGGTTGTCTGCGACGTTCCCTTCCTGAAAATTTTAGGAATGGGCGCAGGGAGATGACGAAAGCAAGCTCAACGTTAAAGAAACAATGCATTTTCTGATTACTTTGGCCCTGTAACTACATAAGCAAAAAGTTGCACGTTGACTAAGTGTTAATTCAACGTGACCTCAAAAGATCAAACAGAAAAATGGCGTTTGTTTTGATCAGAGACAAGAGACCTTCCACTGGCCTCCTAGNGCTAATTTTCATTCACAAATCCTCGAATTTGATAGTGGTTGTCTGCGACGTTCCCTTCCTGAAAATTTTAGGAATGGGCGCAGGGAGATGACGAAAGCAAGCTCAACGTTAAAGAAACAATGCATTTTCTGATTACTTTGGCCCTGTAACTACATAAGCAAAAAGTTGCACGTTGACTAAGTGTTAATTCAACGTGACGTCAAAAGATCAAACAGAAAAATGGCGTTTGTTTTGATTGCGACGTTTCATTCCTTCTTGATAAGAGAGGGAACACGAAAGAAAACTTTTTCGTCTTTTTGAAATGTGGGAGTGAAACAAAATGTAAACAATCATGCCGGTGCGATTGTCAATTGTCATAAAAAACGTAACAGGTCGCAGGAGCTTTTGAAGATTTTAGTGAACCTTAATTTATATATTTCCAACAGTGAACCAATTTTTACTATTTATTCTCATCCCTTCTATTTTTCATCAGCTCAGCTATGGCAGCATCAGTGGTAATTACGTTTTTATTTAAGTCAAAATTTAATCGGTTCCTGCCGTTCCTGCATACAGAACTCATGCATGCTTCTGGTGATGATAGTCGTTTAATCTAGATTAGTGTAATTCGAGGTCATCAAAGGGGCGATAGTTTGAGTTCATACACTCTTTATTTAACAACATGCTGGTGGGTGAAATTCAGGAACCCTGTAACGTTAGGCAATCGGAGGAATAGATTCAGCATTCTTAATACGGTCGGACCTGCTACTGAAAGTCATGAAACGTGATGCATTTTCTTCTCCTGATCATTGAAACAATTGGTATATATTCACCAGTAACCTTTTTTGAGTGCAGTTGCCACTGATGAAATCAATTGCAAAAATGCCACATTATGTATCTTCATTGCGGCGTTTTAAAATCTCAGCTCCTACTTTATTTTTTCTAAAAGGAACGAAAGCTATATGCCTTGAAATTTGTATGGAACATTCTACTGGTAGAGAAGAAAAATCAAGTAAATTTTCAAAAAATTATGTTGACTAGTTCCTTAAGGAGAAAATAAAGTAAGACTGGAAGTCAACAACTTCGTTAACGGAGATGTGCGGTCTGGCACCTTAAGCCGTCAAGATAGAAAAGTGTATACCTACTTGAGCTCTCAAGTATACACTTTTTCACCTTCAAAAAAATTCTAACCTGCGTTCTATCATGCACGATTAGTTGTTTACTACTGATAGCGATGTAGGAGTGAAACAGCCACTAGGTTGTCCCATATCCACTGACAGAGATACTGACGGCGCTGGTCTTGATATCAGAGTGAACTAATGAATCAAGGAGTGCAGTTCTGGACAGTGGTATGGCCAATCATGCCCAGGAAAAGCCCAATGGGTAAAAATATGCGGTGCTTTGTTGAAATAAACATGTCCCATTCTGTCCAGTGCCTTTGTTCACTAAATGTGACCCAAGGGTCCCATCGACCATGAGATAGTTGAATGTTTGGTGAAAACGTTGGGCATTTGTATGTAAACACACAAGACGACCGAGAATCGGAACGGAGTCTGACAATGTCGATTGTTCAGCAGCAGGTAATTCCGTTCCTAAACATTGATGAAAAATATGCTCATATTATGAAACAAATTTTCATGATCCCTAGGTAACGTCCCTCGTCCAAGGACCGATGATTTTTATTTTGTTTTCATTCAAATTTCGATACCATTTATAGTCAAAAAAGTTAGTATGTCTTTCTCACTGTCTCTTTTTTCTCCTTTTTTTTTAGACTGCAGCTTCAGGAGAGCCAAAAGAAAAGCGGAGGAAGGAAAGCATTTTAGACTTATCAAAGTATCTTGAAAAGAAGATCAAAGTTAAATTTGCTGGAGGACGAGAGGTTTCGGGTATCCTCAAAGGATATGATCCATTAGTAAACTTGGTCTTAGATAGCACCATTGAATATCTAAGAGGTCAGTGATACTTTAGTTTTTCCTCCATTTCAAATTTCTCCCCTCTACTTTTAATTTGTTGAAATTTGCATAAGATGAACACTTTCTTGCCAAACAAGTGGGTGCATGGGAGCTAATTTCTCCCTTCTTCATATTTTCCTCCATAATTTTGAAAGAGCAGTGGCTATTTTTGCCCTTCAAAACGATGTTTAAAAAAAGAGCAGGAAAATCTTTCTGTTCCTTTTTAGGTTGATGAATGTAATAAAGAAAAATTTAGGTAGCTTTTCTATTTTTTTAAATTCTAAAAATTGTTTTTATTTATGCAGAATGCAAAGAAAACCGCTTAATATACAACATACAAAACTAAAAATTGACATACATTTATTCAATTTAAGTTATTATAAACTCAATAAATAGTTTAAGTTGGCATTTTTACATGAAAAAGGACTAAAAGAGATCCCAGTTTACTGTCCTTAGTGTTCTTAGACAGTTTTTGTTTTTATCAAATATTCAACTTCTTCTCTCCTTTTTTTTCATATCAATATTTTTTCTCAGCCAATGCCACAAGGGGCTACAGTGTTTCTATTATTCAGGTCACTGGGCCATTTTTTGTGGAAAAACATTTCTCAAAAGCTTAACATGTGTTCTTTTTTCATGCATCAGCCATCAGCCTCAATCCAATTTTTTTTATGTGGACCGGATCAGCAATATCAGTTTTTGTCGCGTGACATTTCTGTGAAGTGTTGATTGAGAAGCACAGGCAAAATCAAAGATTGTCAAATATCAATTTGATCAAATCTCCTTGGTATACTCTGAAAATAAGACCACCTGGAAAAATCTGGAGCATTGTATTAATCTTTTGAAAGATCGATTTTTAAATCAAACCATCTCTCTGGGCCAACGCTCAGCTCCAGAATCTCCAACACTTGCTATTTTGTCCGTTCGTAGACACTGGTTCTGTATAGCTCTGCTAGCAGGATCCATTCAAACATCCCTTCGCAGGAATGGACACAGGAGCTGATCTTAAGTCAACTCCCGCCAAAAGGAAACAGGAAACACCATAGTGCAGTGCAATGTAGGCAACAGAGCGATGAGAGAATAAGTGGGTGGAAGAAACTAACAACCTGAAACTTAACTAAAAAATATCCTTCTAAAAAATACGCAATATGTAGTTGTTTGGGAATATCCATATTTTTCCCATAAGTTTTCTTAAAATCAGGAATTTGGCTCCACCTCTCCCTTAGTCACCCTCATTTGAATCGATATTTTTTCTAAAGTAAAAGTAAATATGGTCATTGCAAAAAAAATATGCATTATTACTGTACCCATAAGTAATTTTAGTCATTAATTGAAAATATTGGACCCTCAATTTGTGGTAACAGCAAGTAATGGTTTCCAGATACTATACTACCATGAGGAATTCAGACGAATCTCTCTCCTGTTATCGTTTTTTCAATTTGTTTTTCTTCACTGATGCTAATTTTAAATTCTTATGAATTATACTATAAATTGTATTTAAATTTTTCAGATCCTGATGATCCCTACAAACTCACTGATGACACCAGAATGCTTGGGCTTGTCGTCTGCCGTGGCACATCCGTTGTCCTTATTTGTCCTCTTGATGGTCTAGAAAGTATTCCCAATCCTTTTGTCCCACAAGATACATAAAGTCTTCACACTTAAAGGTAATCAATTTTTGTGTAAATATTTATCGATAAGTATTAATGTAAGTTTCTTTAAGTTGAATTTGTAAATTATCTGTACAAATACCAACTTCTCTTTAATTAAATTAAGAAATGATAATAAAATTTGACCAACACCGATGATTTTATTTTATCATTTTTTCTCCTCGAGTTGTGTAGGCACTATTTTTGTGTAGGTTATTGTGTAGGCAAATTAAGTAGGCACTAGAAAAACTTGATAACCAAAAGCTTTCCTCCATTCCAGCCATTATGAAGACAAATTGAAGAAGCAAAATTTCCACTCTGCAATCCTCCTTTTAATCTGCTCCTCTCTTTAACTTTCTCTCCTTCCTCATTTTCCTCTCACTGCTCCTCAATTGCAAGGGTTCAAAAACTTTATTTAAAAGCAGGTGATATTTCTTATGCATCAGTAGATCTCCTAATTTTCAAAACTTTTGCAAATATTTTAAAATGCAACTTGAAATCTCCTCCAGAAGTGTTTCCGAGGGACATTAAATTTTCTTTGCTTAAGATGTTCTCAAGGAGCATCCTAAAATTACAGCTTAAAATCTCTAACAGCTTATTGATGGTGAAACTACCAGACCATGTATCTCGTTTGTGGTGTTTAAAAATCTTCGCTCCTACATATTTCATTTATTTGAAGGAGAACAAATTAGTATAGGTATATATAACCATAAAGTTTTCTTCACACGGATAAGAAAAATCACAAAAGCTTTCAAGGATTGACGTTGAATATTTTTAAATTTTAAAAATTTAAGTATTTCAGGAAGTCTACAACGTCACCAACGGAAATACATAGTCTGGTATTTTCACCGTCATTATGCTAATGCCCTATGATGGTATATCCTGGAGCGTGTAGACCTTTTTCTGCCATAATGACGATTTCCCATATCAAACTTTTTTTATGCGTGAATTCTAATGCTCATAATTTGTGGCAACCTTAAGTTTTTTTTGTTGCCTTTGTGAAGGAGTAAAAAGTAAAAAAAAAATTTGTTCCTCTAAACAAATGACGCTTAGCTGTATATTTTGATGCACCAGAATCGAGAACTAGCTTTTCCAGTTTTGCAGTGGATAAATTTCCTCATCATAATCAGTGAAAATAGAACTAGAGCAGCTGTTTCATTGCAAATAAAAGTTCTCTGTCAATAACAATTTTTTTTTTAAATCATGTATTTGAGGAAATGAATGTTTGAAGTTTCGAGGCTTTTCACCTTGGTTTTTTTTTTATTTTATTTTTGGAAATGGATAGAAACAAGCTGTAGAAAAAAAAATGAATTGGTAGAATTTTTTTTGTTTTTGTGCGAATTATTTTTCATCGGGTTTAAGAATGAGGCTTCGTAGGAGTTGAATTTCACAAATGCTATTCCTCCTTAGGAAGATTTAAGGTAAATTAAGACAACAATAAACCCATTTTGTATCAATGTTTAATAAAATTTAAATAAAAATCACAGTCTTTACAATTTAATACGTCTTCAAGTCTACTTTTCAACTAACATAATTCAGTTAGGGCATTGAGTATTTTTAGTCGAGCTACCATGTTGGTAAACTAGATCCATTTTTTTTAAACTTTAATCCATTTAATAGTCAAACGAAATAGACCTTCAAACTTCCATCATTTTATTGGGAGCATTAGATGTATAAGTTGTTTTCTGTAGAATAACAACTTGAGCTTTTAACTAGCTATGTTATTGCGATGCAAGATACTCCTGTTTGCATTACTAGCTATGATCAGTCTCTCATACTGCCATGTTATCTATGATGCTCTCTGTAAATATCTACCATCTTATGCTCTCAATCATGCCCGGGGTGTTTTGAAATATGTATATCATTCGGAAATCTTGGTTTCCTGCATGTTCCGAATCTTTAACTGGTCAGCCTCTTTTTTGTGTTTAGGTTGAAAACGTGTAACTGTCAGTCTATCTTTTTGATGGTTGCTTTTATATTGTGATACCTATGTTAATACCTATGTTATGTATGTTAATGTGTTGTTGGCGTCCCTATGGAAGGTAAATCTTCTCAGTTCATCCCTATCCAAACAAAACAAAAATCAGCCAGTCAGTCTAAAATGTGTCAGAATTTTTCTCTAGTATCTTGCCATTCGCTCGTTTTTGAGTTAGTCTCATTTTATGAAGAGCTCATTTAGTATCTTTTTTGAGGATCTTATCCATGTATTGAATTATTTTATTCTTTGTGGTATAGGTATTTTGAAGTTTGCAGTCAATTAAATATTTTATGTTTGTAAAGTTAGAATTAAAAATGCTGTGGGGAAAAGTTACTTTTGAATTTTCCAGCAAATTCTCCTCGAGCAGTTGTCATATAATTCTAGCACCCAGTCAGGATAAGGCATCATTCTCATGAATAAATCTTACAAATATTCTCGAATAAGAGTAATTACTCTTTAAGCATTGGTCATTGCGTTGCTCCTTGGTTTACATTTGATTCCACTTAAGAGTTCCATCATATCACCAATCTAAACGTCCTGATCATGAGTGTCTTTCTTTTCATGCATCATTGTAGGTTTAGCTTCCTCTTTTCCTATAATCATTGATTTCTCACTTGTTGCTTCTGGTAATGGCTGATGCATCGGCTGATGCATCGGCTGAATACACGTGATGAAAGGAGGCGTTTTGCAACTACATTCAAATAATTCTGTGCGCCTCTTCTTTAACTGTTCTCCAGGGTAGAGTGTCAAATTCCCAAATCTGCAAGTCCGTCCTAAACGGAAAACAAAGTCAACAGTCAATGATTTATTTTTAGAAAAAGTTCTTTGATACTAAGAAAAACTCAAGCTACAAATATTTGATCTATACTCTACACATGTATGAAAAATAATTATAACAATAACACTGCAATTTTTTCTTGGTAAATTTTGATGGCATAAACAATATATTATTGCAGAGCTTAAAAATTAAGGGTATCAATAATAATAATAATAATCAAGGGTATTGATGTCCATCAAAAAGCCTCAAAGACTTCAGTACCATGGTTTGAGTGTTAAGTTACCTGTTCAGATGATACAACAGGATGTCTACTGGTCTGGAATTTCAGGAGATAGTCCTGTTTTGTTAAGGGCGGTCCGGAATTACTGAAAGTACGTGGAAATTCCGCAAGAAAGTCCGGAATTTTCTCCTTCATACCTCGCATGTCATTTAATTAAGCTTGGCATGCAGTCAATCGATCTTCAAGCCACAGATGAAATTTTGTGGCAATTCAAGCGAGAATTTCAAATTTTCGAACATTTTTCGAATTTCGTCAAATGGAGGTACTGAAAAAGAATTGGGGTTTTTTTTGTTGAGGAGGTACTGAATTTCTTAGGAATGCACTGGAAAAGTACTGCTAAAATACTGATTTTTAGCCAGCCTGTTTTAGTAGACACCCTGTCCAAGAATACCCAGAAGACAACTTAATTTTCAAATGCTTGGTATCCTCAATAGTTACCTAGGACAAGGTAATCCAAAAGTTCTGCTCCCTCAGCTCCAGTCATCACCCCTGTAACTTTCGACCAATTTGAGATCGGGACTTGAAATTTTTTGAGTACTCCTGGGCCAGAGGAAATGACTTTTGGAAACTTTCAAAATTCTAAGGGGACCTCCCTTAAAAGGGGCAAGAACCCGGCAGTGAGGGGATTTTGAATCACCCTCTATATCTTTGATGCTTGAAAAATATAAACGACTCCGTGTTTAAAGTTGTCTTGAATTTGGGACATCAGGTCTGAGAATTCAGATTAATTTTTCACATGTCAAACAGGAAACAGAGTTGAACTAATTTACCATCATATGAGACAAAACGCCTTTTACAGATGTACCTTTGCTCAACACAATGAATGATTGAGAATATTAACCACCAAGTTTCTCTTTGAAGTCATTGAGTTTATTTATGATGCAATTTCAATGACTGATTCAGCGGTAATTAAACAATAATACCATAAAGAATGGACATTGGACAAGTTTAGAATTCATAAGGGTCCAAAAAAACAAATTATCTAGAATAGAATCTTAGTTGTCTTCATTTATTTTATTTCTTGATAGTTTTTAATCTTATAATCTTTTTTAAAGTTTTTTTTTTCTTTCGCTCTCTTTTCTTTGCCATTCAAAATTCCAACTTAGGTTGGTGGAACATCGTGTATTGTTTAGTTCTTGTTGTTAGTTATAGCGTAGGCAACAGCTACAACTTTATTCTTGCTGTTTTGAGGGGGATTTTCAGTATAATCCAAGCACAGCAATAATTTATCTATCCTCACAAAATTTTTTGAAAAATCAAGTTGGTTAGTTACAGCCTGTGGGTCTACAACATTCGAAATCAAGATACTCAGTGTCCGAATTAAACCATAACTATTAAGGCACTAGATCTGAAAGGTCTAACCTGAGGAAGTAGATGAGCTCAATTGTTTTGTATCTGGGATAATGGAGTCAGTTGGCTCAGCTGAAAAAATAATTACGAAGGTCAGATAAGCTTCATGCCGAGGAAGAATTTTTCATCTTGTGTGCATAAAAATACCAATGAAAGGTACGGAAGAATAACGAATGTTACATTGAATTTGCGTTTTGTGCAGCTTATTTGCTCATTGCCTCAAATTCTTCACCAACTTCAAGTGGGTGAAAAATGGAGAAAATTGAATTGGGATTTGTTCCGTCCATTTATAAAGTACATTGATTGCACTGCTATGATGTATTCCTGGTTTAGCAGTTTGATTGACACAGCCATATCGCTTTGCAATGAAGGAAATAAGCTAGGCATCCCAATGTCAGGGTTTTTGTGAAGCTAATTTGATTCCATCAATGCGGATGTAAAATTTGCAAAAAATTACTTTTCTAAGCTTTTATCCATTAAATTTTAAGAGAATATCTTTCATAGAGTAGATATTTAAAATCCAAGGATTGTATAAAAAGTCTCTTAGAGGGTGTAAGGAACTTACGGCATTTAGTTTCAATTGAGCAACTACAATGAGCGCTCTTATAGTAGACTGGTACGCAGCCCTCTCGCAAGCGATGCATGTAATTAAGCATAGTACCGCATCGCTGAGTTTGACAAGATGGGCCTTCAAGGGTATCTGCAGGAAAAAGTGATTCTTTATTCATCAAAAGTTGCAATGAAATGAAACAGAAATTTGGTCAATTTATCTCTCTTCTGTAAAGGAAAAACTATTTTAACCTAATTTCTTCTTTTAAAAAGAAAAATTATTGTGACTCAAGTTATGAAATAATTAAAGATTGTTACATGAAAGTCTCGAAGAATTTGATTTTACCAGTTGTGTAATTTTTGCAATTTTCGTGAATTACTTTCAAAAGTAAAAAAGTTAAATGAACAATAAAACGAAAATGTAGGCTCATTCTAAAAGATTGATAGGAGAAATAGAAGATGAAAAGAAAAAATAAAACGAATCAAATTGCACAGGAAAACCGTGGGGAAAAATATGTGGACAGTTATAGGCTGACCTTTAAAATTAGCATTGCAAATGCACCTTTTACACTTTGTCTCATCATATATTATTTGTCCCTCAATGTAGGTTACTCCGTTGTAAGCACATGTAATGGCTGGTTTAGGATGGATGCCTTCTGTAAACATAAGTGAAATTAATGTTAATGGATTGCTCTTTAATCATCATAGTGAAATAATCTTCATGAGTTCCATTATGTACCATAGACAAGTATATATTTGATAGAATAAGGCAGCCTTGGTGCTGTAGGGATTAAGGCAGCCTCCTGGCAGCACTGAGGTCTCGAGCTTGATCCTTGATAGTGACAGGTTTTAAGTACGCTGACAAATTCGTCATCGCAGCCCTGGATGGCCATGCCACTCTAATATCCTCTCTGTCCCTGACATCAGGGTAGGGTGTGGGGGAGGGACATTGGCATCTGATGGTAGTGTATCCCCACTGTTCAAAAATGTTTTGATTCAAGCACCTGTGTAATGTGGGTCTTTTAGCGTCACTCATGAGTGTCCATTACCCATGAGTGTCTGAAGGCGTTTTTCGTTAAAAATTCAAATTCGGATTTTTCAACCCATTTTGAGAAAATGACTTCTAATTTTTTGCCTCTTTGTTTGAAAGTCACAAATTTTGAAAATTTTTGCAGAGCAGAAATTCTTAAGCATTACAGACTAAATACAGGCTCTTGTAGTACTATTGAAATGCTTGTGTTTCTTGTCAATATGCTAATGCTTAAATTGTTGAAGGCTGTTCAAGTACTATGTAAGAAATTTTGGCTAAATTTTTGACTCTCTTCCCTGCATGCAAAGCATCCGTAAAGCAACCTTTCACCCCTCCCCTCTCTTAAATCACCAAAGATTGAACTGCCCCCCCCCCCAATTTCTCAGAAAATAGATGGAGAAAACTTGAAAGTAGCTGAGGAAATTATTTGATTCAAAAAGAGTTGTTATGCCATACTTGAACGGCGGTGTATCTAAAATATTGAGACAGAAAAATGCAGCATTTTACGGTAAAAATGGTTTTGTGACTTACCACAATATTTCCTTGTTCTGCAGCAATCTTTCATGCTATCATATTGATCTATACATCCTTCCTCACGGGGAAAAGGACATTCTCCGTGAGCGCAAATCCATTCAGCATGTGCTGTTTGTGGGTATGAGTCCCTTTTAAAGAAACTTTGGATTAAACAACATTGATTTCTCATTAAAATAAAAAAATTAAACATGAGACATCTAAATTTAAGATTATTTTAATGAGTGCCTAAAAATGTAGGAAATCGTCATATTTATTGAATAATTTATTCAGGAATAATGATGTGATAAGGTTTCCAGTCTGAACTTGGCCTACGTAAGTTCCTTAGCTCCGGTGTTAATGTAAGACATTTGAGCAAACGTTCGGCCAGTTCAAAAAGCTGTACGAAAGAAGAGGGAAATTTGTTTGCCTTTTCCCTTCAGATAATTCAATTCCTCTCTTTTTCAACCTTTTGAATGGTTGAATATAAGTGCATTTTACCAATCTTCATTACCTACCTACCTACTTAAAATCTTTCTGAAACTTTTTTCGTAATTATTGATGATCGCACTCTATTCTAAACGTTTTCTAGGGTTTTTCTAACCTTTTTTCTCTTTTCTCTTTTTCTCTGAAAATTTTTCATGCTGGTCAAAACAACATGAAGTCCCTAAATATCTTTGACGGAGAAAAGACAGAATTACAGATGACACAACAGGTTGATTTTAGAAATATTAAAATTCATGCCAATGAGTGCTCTTTTTATTATAAATTTCGTTTACAATCACAAGTGAAACCAGTAGACATGACATCTGACCTTGATCTCCAAAAATCGACTTTTACTCACCAAAGTGTCAAAGTTCTTTACAGGAAGGGCTTGAACAAAAATTTGGGGGAAATAATACAGCAATACAATTATTACAACAGCAATTGATGCCCTTTTTTTTTCTTGTTCACCCTAATGTTCAATTTTTTTGTTCATTTTCAAGTTGAAAATTATCATGTAACGAACGCACTGAGACGCCCCTGTTTGTAAACGTTCTGTTGTTTCCAACCGCTTTACAGATTAAATTGTTTTTCACATAGTTAGTATGCTGACAGTAGTATCAGGTTTTGCTGTCTCTCAGAGCTCATAATGTTAAGACAGCGCCAAGTGCCAATAACGCCCAGCTTAAAATATCTTGAGCCTTACAAAAATCAAGATGGCTATCAACATCATGCTCATGATCGGTCTATTGATCAATTTCTAAACTGTTCTTCTCGGCAACTACAATTTTATTGCATTGCCAAGAATTTTACCAGTAAACCATACTAATTGTTATGGTCATGCAAAGCCAGCTATGTCACCTATTATTTCTAGAAAAAGATCAGTGACTCTTACCTGCATCGACAATGATGGTGACAATGATCCATCGTCTCTGTATCATTAAGTTGGTAACCTTTTTGATAAGTGTTGCCATTGTAGTAACAACTCTTTGGGTCAACTTTTGTAAATTTATCTAGAGAGGATAACATTTCCTGAAGTAATAATTAGACTAAATGAAAATCACTCAATCAAATCTATTAAAACTAACCAGCTAACACAAAGCAATAGAACAGTTTGACAAAATTTTGCAATTAGGAACTGAAAAATATGGCTCAGTTTAGAAACAGCGATTGTACCATTAATTTCCCTATGCATGCAAGTGTTTTTACGGATGAGCCAGGAATTGGAGTCGCTAATTGCAAAATAAAGTGCAGTTAATCTATTTATTCATTATTTACCAAAGAAAACAAAACTTACATCTAAACAAGCCATCACTAATTTTTAAATTTAAAATGTAATATATTTTGTGATATAACTTGATTCGTTCTGAATTCAATCAGGAGAATATAGCGTCATATAATTCAAGTAAGTTCAATTGATCCCATTAAGTAAGTAACTTTGGGTTGGATGTTACCTACTCAAAAGAGCACAAAATCATTTTTATACAAACTAAACAGGAATGTTTATGACTCGTGCGTCTACTGCAATCAGTTTGTATACATGTTTCAAGAAAAAATAGTTCCTCTGAAAGGTCATTTTGGGGCTCTAAAATTCAATTTGGACATCTTCTGTACGCATAAGGTAGTCATCTTTTACCAGTTTTGATATATAATGTAAAAGTGAATTTTGTTAACCAGGATAAAAACTTGATTATGAAAAATTGAATCAGAACTTCATAATCTATTGATGTTAATAAAATTAGAATCTAAAACTATGGACTGGTGAACTGCATGTTCCCTAGTCTGTCTACAATATTAGAATAAAGCTTCTCATGAATGTTTTCCATCACTAACATTCAGTCCTGGGTTTTAATGTTTTGCCTCGTTTTAGGGCTTTTCTTGTAGGTATATACCTACAAATATCATAATCAAAACTCTTACCACAATTGTAAGCCACTGGGCACTCTTTTCCACTTTCAAAAATGGGTGTACAACCCATTTCACGATACAGGGATATGTAATCACAAGATTCTAAAACAGATTTCAAACAAAATTGTTAGCAAAATATTACATGAAGTGCCAATCATTTCCACTACCCTATTGTTCATCATCTACGTTTGCAACACTCTGCAATGAAGTACTAAGATCATTCAGACATGAGGTTCTCCCATTTGCTTTAATAAGGAACTCCAAAGCTCGACTTTCAAATATACTAATGCTAAAAAGATTTTAATTTTCAAAAGATTTAAGTTTTTTTCTTCTTTTTTTTATCATCAGTCAGTCATCGCTCAGAATTTGCATTTTTCTGTGGTGAGTCAGTGATTGCTGATGATGAGATCAAGTTCTCGAAACCTGTCCGAATTTAATTTTTAATCTATGTGCTAGTGAGTAAATTTTTAGTTTTTTTTTTTTTTTTTTTTTTTTTTTTTTTTTTTTTTTTTTATCATTATGACAAATAGTTTGGTAAGGTTTTCTCATTTCTAATACTCACGATCAACTCGATGCAATTATTTTCTCTTGTTACGTAGATTTATCTGGAAATTCCATTAAATATAAAAACGAAAACAGCTGGTAACAAGGCAAAATTCACGAATTGAGACGCCCAAAACGTTTCGGCTGGAAATCGAGCCACCCTCAGTTGAATAAGAATATAAATTAAATTCTCTAGAAAACTAGCACGTACCTGATGACACCTTGTAAACATGTTTTTCTTGTTTGAAAGAAGCTGCCAGGTGCTCGGTTTTTTTTTTTTTTTTTTGGAGATAGTAAATTTTTTTCTTTATCCAATTAAGGATGACTAGATTTCCAACGGAAACGTTTTTGACCCTCTAACTTATGTACCTGTTTAGTCCTGTTACCCGCGGTTTTGTTTTTATATTTCATAAAATTGTCTTTGTCTCTGGCTGCTATTTCGGAGAGTCGAACGTGTTCCCAGGGCAACACATGTCCCTGGAGCTTCACCGAAAAATGAACACTTTTTTCTCGACTTATTTGAGTTTCCGGGTGATTGACCTTTGGAACTTCTCTTGTTCACAGAGAAATGCTAAAAGGAACTATGTCACACGTACTTACTTTTAGCATAAATACGTTCAAATATAGATTTCAGTTAACGACGTCGCTGGAATGATAGTCACATTCCAATTTTCAGAGGGATGGCTCATCATCGCCCTGGTAAAAATTGGCAGTAGAATCTGTGTTCCAAAATACCATAGACCTACAGCCGGCTGTAAGATTTCCAATAGCTTCTATAGTCGGCTACACAATGTCTTATAGCCTTTTATAGTCGATGGCGATTAAGCAACATCCAGGCGATAAGTGTATGTTAAACGTTACTAATTACGGATGTTAGGACTTAGTGAGTTTTTGGAATACTGCTCTCTTTTTGAACCGTAGTATCTTGATTTATTTTGCGAGGAAAGCTCCGTACTTTTGATGGATGCCTGCCATTACTAATATATTAGAGCGCCTTCAGTTTCGTATGATACTGTGCAATACTTCTGGTGTAAAATAGTTGCCTCAAGCGCCGTGTCACGCTGCGGCGCGGCAGGCGGGCAGCCAGCGCTGAACGCGCATTGGCGCCTACAAACCTAACAGGGATACTTCACGCGTTGCGCAATGCTTGAAGTATCCCTGTTAGGTTTGTAGGCGCCAATGCGTCGCCGCTCCGCTTTGTGTTGGGCTCTAATATTTAATCTGGCGGAGTCAGCGTTATTCAACTCATGATTTTGAAATGTTTGCACATCCTGTATGGATTATTCTCATTTTAATTGATGAAAAAAATACGTACGAGGGGCGTTCAATAAGTAAGTATCCCCCCTCTCTAAAATCCATTAGAATGAACCAATTTTAAAAAACTTGGGCTCAAAATCTTCCTTAGGATATTTTGAGCTCAACAAAACAAACCGCAACTAAATCGGACCATGTCCGGCCGAACGCGAGCCGTTTGAACGCGCCGAGGTGCTCGACGCTCCCGCCGAATCCGCGAGGATTTGAAGTCCGCTACAGGAGAAGAGCTTCTCTGCCAAAGCCTCAGTCGTTCATCACTGACGAAAAATCAAAGAAATCAAGGAACGGGAATAAATGGTGGTCTGGTTTGCCATTCATATTCGTATCTGAAATCTGAATTTGGAGGAGTTAATGTTGAATCAGGGGAAGAGGTCAAACAAGTCGTCCACTCTTTCATCCCCGGTCAGCTGAAAGACTTCCACGCGCGAGGCATCCAAAAGCTCTTCTCTTAGTCTCAGTATCAGACTTGCTTGTATCGAGCTGGTTATGTGGAGAAATGAGGTAAGTCCCTTATTCTACAAAAATTTCTTTGATTTTTCGTCAGTGATGAACGACTGAGGCTTTGGCAGAGAAGCTCTTCTCCTGTAGCGGACTTCAAAGCCTCGCGGATTCGGCGGGAGCGTCGAGCATCTCGGCGCGTTCAAACTGCTCGCGTTCGGCCGGACATGGTCCGATTTAGTTGCGGTTTGTTTTGTTGAACTCAAAATATCCTAAGAAAGATTTTGAGCCCAAGTTTTTTAAAATTGGTTCATTCTAATGGATTTTAGAGAGGGGGGATACTTACTTATTGAACGCCCCTCGTATTAAAGGAAAATATAATGTGTGTTTCGTAAATATTAAGGTGGTTCCGTATCAAACTTGATGATTGCCAAAGCACCCGAATTTCTACACAATTTCTTATAGCCTTTCATAATCGATGGCGAAAAAGCAACAGCCAGGCGATAAAGTGGACGTATTTCTACCAAACAGACCTATGTGGAGGTGAGAAATATGGGGTGTGCTCGTTAGTTCTCTGGCCGTAAGAGTGAATGGGAATAATAAAGCGCCAGTGACGTCAGCGGCAATGATAGTGCGCACTCGAGCGAGGGGGAGATGGTCGTCGGGGCGCTTTAACTCGTGAGCCCTGTCCACAACGCTCTCTTGCCATGCCCGCGGCTCATGAATCTCGCATTCAGTAGGCACATAGGTCTGTTTGATAGAATGTAAAATCCCGCTTTTCCAATTCTTCAAAAGGAATCACGCCCACTTTTACATTGCTTCTTATGCAGCTTCGACGAACACACCCCCATATTTTTCACCTCCACATAGGTCTGTTTGGTAGAAATAAGTCCAAGTGTAAAGTCCGGCGAAAGGAACTATAGCCCGGCTGCATAATTTTTTGTCGCTTCGTATAGCCCGGCCGTATGATTTTCTCCACATTCTACAGCCAGCTATATGATTTTCTATAGCCTTCTTTAGGCGGCTATAAGAATCCCTATGGTATTTTGAAACGCAGCTCTTATCGCCAATTTTTACCAGGGCGTCCCTGCACAAAATTTCTTGCGATTATTTTTCGCCTTATCAAGAACATCCTCGGAAAATTTCGAACAAGATCGAGTATTACGGTGCTCTATTCAAAAAGCAAAATTTAAGTAAAGATTTTGAAACACCGCAATCGAGGTACATGTTTTCGTAGTTTCACTGCCGTTGTAAAATTTTCCGTGAGGCATACAATGCTCCCGAAACAGACCTGAATTTAAAACTTTGTGACCGTAAGTGGCATAGAGAAAAAAAAGGAGGTGCTTGCATTTCGGGCATCTTGGAATTTTTTTGATGACGTAGGTCGGTACAGCGACGTTTATCATCGATTTTCTTGGAAATGGTGTAGGTAATTTATGGAGAAAAGTCATTCTATAAAAAGTGCTTGAAATTATATCATGAGTTGACTTAAGCAAAAAAACGGGACATTATGGTCCGTTTTTCCTACTTCGAATTCCGGATTTCGCTGGCCAGGTTGTACCGACCTACGTCATAGGGTAAACAAACCTCAAGATGCAAACACCTCCTTTTTTTCCTCTATGCGTAAGTGTGTCTTGAATTTACCTGGAATTTGCCAGGCTTGAAGTGCTGGCCACAAGCAGAGCAGCGCAAAACTTTTCACCGGTATCATGGCGTTCGAGAGTGAAGCGGGAAAATGCGTGAAAATTCGGGACGAGCGCGTCGCGGCGGTCAAAAGTTGACTGAGCTGGAGTTGGGAGTGCTGCAGCCGATCGGAGTGCGCGGTTGCGAGATAGCCGGAAATTTCTTCCATCTCCCGCGGAACAAAGGCATTTTTGAAAGCACACCTGGCAACATTACGTGGTCGCCTCATCACCTGACTGACATGTCAGGTCGTCTCCCGCGGATAAGTTATAGGTCATGGTGACAATCCTTGGACGTTGACGGATTGACGAATAATCTGCCAGGAGCGTCCGTTAAGTACAGGCAAGAATCGATAGCATCCAAGGAGAGTTAGGACAACAAGTCCCAGAGCTCATGTCAACGGACTGATGATTCAAATTGATGGACAAAGCGGTAGACAAAGAAGACATAAGGAGTACCAATAGAGCGATAGGAGTACCTATAGAGTGTAGAGTGATGATGGACTAACTATAGGGTCTCCCGTCATGATTGGCGTTAGCCAGTTTATTACCTACCTCCTGTCCATTGCAAGTACCTGTTTCCACCAAAAGGATTCCTCCATATCCTTTTTGTCATCTTTGCCTATCGCTTTGTCTACCAACTTCGACGATCAGCCCGCTGGAAATGATCTTTTCTTTTTTCGTGTAACCGTGAAGAAAAAAGGGAAAATACCCGCGGGAGTATGACTGTTTGGAAACCATAGGTACCCCCCCCCCCCT